AATCCTGAACCCTAAAACCTTAAGCCCGAAAAGCTTGAAGCCCAAAAACCCAAACTTTCAACCCAAAACGCAAACCCCCCTTTAACCCTACCCTAAACCCCAACCCTGAGCCCAGAAACCCCATTAACACTTTGGAGTTGTCCAGCTGCATCTTGTTCGGGATTGCGGCCAGGGATTTTAGGGTTTTTGTAATATTGTAATATAAACTGAAGGAGATGACACCAAACAGCAAGTTGGAATTGTCTTAGAATGCTGCAATGTGGAAAGCCCACACAAACATGGTGCCACGGTTGCAGCTTTGCTTGGTCAGTTTTCGAATCACTAGTAAACATCCCATATGTGGTCCATTGGTCTTCCTATGGCGCCCACAAAGTGGCCTAGTGGCAACAAATGGATGCGAAGCACTCTTCCTTTCACTTCTTTGCGAGCGACAATCCGCATTTTTCGTGTATCGGCCTTAATGATTGCTACTGCAACACTCCGTCCGTCCCAATCCAAGCAAGTCGCAAGAACTAAGCACAAGAAAGACTACCAAAGGAAATCACGTCCTAAGAGTCCTCATGAAACTGTACAGATGACCAGGACGACTCCCCCCTCCCCCTTAAAAAAGTCTAGAAAGGCAAATTTACCATCTTGGTAGTCTGCGTCGTCTTGCCCCACCGGTACATACATATAGCAGAGCTCACAACTCAAGATGCGGCTTGGCGACCACCTCCGCGCGGGCAAAATGACCAAGATGACAGTCATCTTGCCCCCCGCCAAAATCGCCAAGATTACCACAAAGGTAGGAGAAGTAGGAGAAGTAAGCACGGTAAGAGTAAGTAGAGGTTTCGTGGCGGTTGCGAGCAGCTTGTGTCGGTGTCTATGGTGTTCGCGGCATACCAGAGCGACAAGTCAGGAGCACAACAGTGTGGGCTTGTTCAGGTCATGACGGATGATGCCATCTTGCGGTTCAAGACGCCGACGTTGCTGTGACAGGGGTTGATAGCATGTCGCAGCCACCGTAAATTTCCACATTTTTGCATCTGACGTTCGGTCACCGTGGTGTGGGAATGGGCAAACAGTGAGCAAGCGGGAACGGCAGCAACAAGTCGGAACTGGCACGGACGTCACCATCTCCCTGCACATTCACCCCAGCCCATTCAAGCGCTTCACCCAGCAAAAACCGTTACCTGAACCACGCAATACACAGAGGAATCACGAAAAGCAACGCCACCAGCAAAAAGCTCTTACCCAGCGAACACCACTGCAAAAAACAGTTCTTCAGTGTCCCAAAAACGTCTTGTCCAACCCGCAAAGTGCCAACAGCCGAGTTTTGGCAATGACACAAGACAAATCTTGCCGGCCGGACGTCATGCCCCATGCCGCCGCCGCAAAAAAATGAGAAATTGCACTCGACACCTTGTGGCACAAATCAACAAGAACCACACGTTCGTGCATGAAGAGAATTCAACGTGGCGTCCGATACGGAACGATAGACTGATCGTCGTCGTAGCGGCAGTGGAACTGGCAGTGGGTGGCAGTGGCAGTGGAGCAGCAGTGGTATGCAGTGGTAACAGCAGCAGCATCATCATCATCAGCAGCAGCAGCGTCGTAGAGTTGTAGCTGTAGGAGTGTCGTTGGAATCGCTGCCCATATCGAGGAAATATGTGGTCCTTGTCGTTGTCGTCGCTGGATCTAGAGTTGGCGGAGGATGCACGTCTGCTCATATCTTGACACTCACCGTTCCCGCTCGCTCTTGTGTTGTGATCCGTGGCTGTTACACTTGCTTCGCCACATTAGGCGAAAGGGAAATGCCCAGACATGCCAATGCAAGTGTCGAAGGCCATAGTGCTGTACCTTTAGACTTTAAGCGCACAAAGAAAAACCTACCATATTTCCCTAAGTTCTGAAGCGAGACCGCTGGTAAGTAGTGGATGCAAAAGAAGTCCTTGCTAGAACATCAAAGGGGTGGAGATGTTTTCTTCCCTTGTGTGTTTCTTCCCCTTTGTTTTGTTTTCGGTGCGGATCTGCTCTGTTTAAGGGATTTAGAAGCTTTTCAAGGGTTTTACAAGGGTTTTCGAGGGTCTTAGGAGGATTTGCTTTCGAGGGTTTCCACGCTTTCAAACCCTCGAAAGCAAAGCCTCAAAGACCGTGACAAACTCTTCAAAACACAGCTGCAAAAACCGAAAGACTCAGAAGGACAATTTGCAGTTCCTCTTTCCGCCTGTTTGAGGAAGGTCGCAAACGGGAAGTCCTCCACGTCAAGCAAACCTCCGTGCAATCCGACGGCCTTGAACCCGAGCCTCAGCCTGCGTTGTTGTCAACCGCTACCAGTGCAAGCTGCGATCCCCAAGAACCGAAGCCTCATCTCATCCGGGCCTCCGGCACGTACGTGAGCATGGAGGGCAGCCCGCCATTGTGCGTAGAGATTGCTTGCAGATGTCTCCCGAACCGTCTGGTGTCGCCGACCCACCTGCTGCACTTTGCAAGGGCGCAGGGGTGGCGTACTTCTGAGAATCCTGAATACATGTGCTGATCGAAGCCGCTGCGTTCCAACCGGTCAACATATTCAACTCGTCCGTCCCTCCATCTATAGCTCACCCCACCTGCAGCAGGGCGTGCTGCAGCTGCCGCAGCTCGTGGTTGGTTTGGCAATGCTCCGCCGCTTTTTCTTCGGCACTTCGGAGGCGCCGAGGACCCTCGGCCTCCTCGGTGGCACAGCGGCGTCGGAGCTCCGCCGTTGCCTCTTTGGTCCCGCGCAGCCGGGCCCGGAGTGCCGCCAGCGCCGACTGCGCCTCCGCCAGCTCCGAGGCCAGGAGCTCACGGGAGCTCGCGGCCGGGGCCACTCGGCCTGAGGATGCCGGAGTTCGCATCGCGGGGCCATGGGCAAGAGATCCTCTGGGTCTGGGGCAAAGATGGTGGCTTCTTCGAGCGAGGCTGAGTGTGGGTGCGTGTGCGAGAGACCATCTCTCTGCTGCGATCTGCTGCGCCTTCCATCAGGCCCCGTGTGGAAAGTCGGCAGAGCACACGAGAACACGTTGCTGTCTAGGCCTAAGCAGAAGCAGGGATTTGTTTCGATGATCGGCATTCATCACGATGCTCCGACATGACTGGCTGCTTTTCAACAGCCACCTTTTTTTCTCAAGGCTGGGCACTCCACAGATTCCTGGCGACGTGCTTAGCTTGAAGCTCCGAAGCATCGGATTCTGGCCGACCGACCGGTTCCTTTTCTTCGGTTCCTTTTTTTTGCGCGGTGACCTCGTCGAGATCCTGGCAGCTCACGCGTGGCTCTCAATGCGCCCTGTTAGGGGATTTGGCGAACAATTGTGACCCTCAAAAAAGGCAGGATCTTCACATCCGCATGGATAAACATGGCGTCAGTTGGGAGCCGTGGAATCCATCGCAAAGCCCTGGTAGCTTTCGTGGCTCTGTGGCATCGGTGTTTAACACCGCAACATTATCAAGGCCACGGGCGTGGCCGTCTCTGTACAGCTGTGGCAAGGCCCAGCAGTTTCAATATCAGCAAAAGGCGAGCAAACCTAGGATAGGCGGTTCAAGACGCGCAGACACGCAATGTGGCTAGTGGCTAGTGGAACAGCATGTGCTACAGTCAAGGTTCAGGCCGAAACTGAGCTTGTCTGAAGAGCAAGACAAGTACGGAATGCCATCGCTGATGAGCTTTAGCTGTTCGACTCTGGGTTAGAAACGTCGGATCCATGCCTGGTGATTTCGCAGCCACGTTCATGTTCCTCATGCTACTCCCGAGGGAGTGTGTGTTAACGACTATCGACTCCACTGTGCTTCTCTCACTTGCAAACAAAGGGCCCCTGTCTGCATCTTCATCAGCACTCGGTGGAATATCCTGCGAAGTCTTCCATGAGGCACTCGCTACACTGCTGCTCAGCTAAATGGGTGCTTCTGTTGTGTGCGCGTGTGTGTGTGTGTGTATGCAGGTAGTTCTGTTATTTCAGTCTGTGTGTGTGTGTGCATGCGTGTTATTTATTTCGCCTGTGCGCCCACACGCTACGAAGATCCTCCGACATCAACTGAGGATTGCGCCGCCCAATCCGATATGCGACGGAGATCTCAAGTTCCCGAAGCATCACAAGGCGGCACCGACATGTCACCGCTCTCACGAGCGAGATCCGAGGGTCCACGCGAAGTCGCTCGGCGCAGATCGCCTTAAGGTATGGCCTCTGCCGTAAGGCTCTGCGCTTTCGTTTGCAAGAGTTGTGCGTTACAGTGCGACTGTGTTTTCGAATGTAAGTACAGTGGAAGATCTGCCACGAACGAAGACAGGCTGGCCGCTGTCTTTCTGTGGCTGCACACACCCGTCCACACGACAGACTAGAAAACGAGTGTCTCGAAAGCATTTAGAGCAGCGAGGCAAGCACCAAACATCATTTCATCCATCCAGTCATCCGACAAAAGATCCATTCATCCATGCACCCATGCATCCACAGCTTCATCCATCCGTACATCCCTCTATTCAGCTATATCCACTGCAGCATCACCTGCGCAGCGTGCGGACCCACTGCAAGAGGGTCGTCATGTCCAGACTGCCGTGAGGACATGTATTAGGATGGCACCTCAGGCAAACGCCGACCCGCCGGTAACACCGAAAGGGTTGCAACAGGCTCTCTTTTCGAGCCCAGCGTGACGCCAATGTACCAAAATCTATAGTCGATCGCATTTACCGAGGATGAGGATGCGCCAGGTAACTAGTTCTACTGCTGATACGACGACGACAACCATTACCACAAACAACAAACAACAACAACAACAACAAGGTTAGCTCTGTTTGCGAACTTTGTTTGCGCAGCGTCTGTCTTACGCCAATTTGAGACAAGCGCACAACAGCATCAACATTAGCATGATCAGCATCATGCTCTGTTCTGAGAACGCAGTCGACCACGGACGTCATTAGGTTCCGGGCATGGATGCTCTGTTATCCAAGCGCACTAGACCACGAACGTCACTA